GGTGATTCATTGTCACCTAGCAGGCCAGCCTGTAGTTCACCTCTTAGTGTCGGCTGTATCAGCCTCGCCTGGAGCCAGGCTGTTCCTACCCTAATAGCCCCACCCCACCCAAGCCAGGCACTAATAATGTTAAGACACTCCCTTCCTCAATCGGCCTGGGCAAAGTCTACACCTCTTGCACCCCTTTGAGATGCTGTTGTGAAGTGGAGAGGCCAGATGACATCAGAGTCTCTGTGCACTCAGTAATCGTTCTTTTCAGTCAGCCAGTGGCTTCCTCCGCTGACTAGTTAGCTGTCCCTCCCCCGACCTTTGACAAAGCTGTGACTGGGTTTAAACCCAAAAGGCCTCTTGAGAAGTGAGGCAGTGGGAAGGCTCCCGGCAGGGCAATGGAGGAGGCGGAGGGACTGTGTCTTCTTTATCATCCCACCCTTGAAGGCCCACCCAGGAGAGCAGGGCCTGGGGCCCTCAGCACTTACCAATGGAATTCCACTGATAGACATGTTTTATTCTGCCACAGTAAAAATGTTTGAGTTTTTTTGGTTGCAAATATCAGAAATGCAACTTAAACTAGGTTTTGGGGAATGAGTTGTATTATTCACAGAAATAAGGACCAAAGTTACCACACATTTGTAGCAAAGAAAGAAGTTTCTAGAAAAAAAAAGAGGTGCTACACAGATAAATACTAGCCTTGTCAGTCTTGAGGGACCCTGGAGACCATGTGTGTCCTTACGCCACAGGTGAAGAACAGGTTACCTGGCCTTCTTTTTCTTAGGAGGGGTAGAGAGGAGCCGTCTGGCTCCTAATCAAGTGCTCTCTCTGTTGCACCAAACTTACTGTCTCTGGTTCCAGTTTCTTTCATGTGTCGTGGCCAACATCAACCTTAGTAGCAAGGTGCCACTCCAAACCCCTATGCCATAGTTCTTTTAATTTCCTCACTTAACAGGTGAAGAAAGGGAGTTTAAAAAATTAAGTAATTTGTACAAAGTCGTAACAGGTGGTAAGGCTGCCCTCTCAAGTGGTCCATTTCCAAAAACCATCTTCTCACCCACCGGGCTGGCTACTGCCCAATGCTTCCTCTGCATTCCAGCTCCTGTCTTCTTGCTCTATCGAGATCCCAGATAAAGGCACTAGGGACCAGGCCTCTCCCATGAGCTCCCCCAACAGTGGGTGACTGCTGTCCAGTGGTGGCCTAGACTCCATTGTGGAAGAGACAGTGACATGTGCAGGTGCCTCAGGAATGCCCCCGTGCCCACGGGTAATTTGACTCCAGCAGTCCAGGAGAAGAAGAGAAACTACCAGGGTTCAAATTGAAACAGGGACAGTGGTTTTTTTTTTTTTCCCCTTTATAAGATTGTCAAAAACTTAACGTTTGATAAGACTGGGTGCTGAAGTGTTGAGCAGGTGAGAACTGATACTGTCATGCATAGCTGGTGTGAGCCCTCTTGGAAGGCAATGAGGCGACTTCTGTTTAAAGTAGGACCCAGTCCTAGAGAAGCAATTGCATGGGCCTTCAAGAAGATGTGCTGAAAAGGTTCACCACAGCCTTGTGAAAGCAAAACCTTGGAAACCACCCAAATGTTGACCTGTGGGGAAATGGTCAAATAAAATAATCATGAATAGTCATATGGCTGGTGGATAAGGCAATCAAAAGGATTTGATAAGTCTAAGAGATAGTTGGTTCTCATTATTCAAGGTAATTGTGTTCTGTAAAGTCACTGCAAACCCTGAACTAGTGACAACTGAAGCAGTGGATAGACAGGACTAGATTCTGGTCATCTGATGTTTTTGTGAGCTGATTAACATGTAACTTTGTTTTAAATGTGTTCCTGTTTAAAGATGTCTTAGTTAGTATGTGTTGTTGATTGTTAACATTGAACTCATGGCCAACATCTCTAGCTCTCGCCTAGATGAAGCGTATCTAGCTGTACGTATTTTCCCCAAAAAGACACCTCACAGCTTCCTGAGCTTGGGAACAGTAGACAGCATTTGACCATTTCAACAGCAAAATTGCAAGCAAATGCACTAACATGCAAAACAAAAAACAAACAAACGAACAAAAAAAAAAAACCTGACACAAAATAGATCATTAAAGGGACATTGATTTGCTGTGTAGAATACGGGAGCTGAAACAAGAAGGCATAGTGTTGCCTTGTTTGACTGCAGCTGGTATCTACATTGTGACAAAATTTTCATTGCTCTGAGCATGTCCAGGAACAAATGTGGAAGTGCTATGCGTATTGATTGATTTCAATAGTAGACAAATTCTCAGATATGGAATCTGCAAATAATGAAGATCAACTGTGCATGTCTTCACATTTTAACATCTCAGAAATTGGGGTGCATCTTAGATTCCATGCAATATGGTCCCTATATCAGTATGAACAGACTCTGTGGTTAAGGCTGAGTGAAATCCAAGTTGAAGATCAGTATAGGAATGTATAGGATAGACCTATATATATATAATTAAACAAAATGCCGTGCTGCTTTTCCTTGGCTCTGAAATAGTTAAGAGGTATTGAGCATTGCCCAGGTCCCAGACACAGCTCCAAGTACTCAGTCATCTTAATTAATTTAACTTTCACATGGTCCTTAAAAGGTAGATGCCAATTTTTATCTCCATTTTATAAAAAGAAGTTAAGAACATTGCCCAGGGTCACACAGACACACACAAATAAAGATGTCTATTTCATCCTTCATTGAAAGTTATGATTGGATTTATTCTACGAACTTTTCTTAATGCTATTTGTAGCCTAACAGAAGCTTAAATATATACAGATTATTAACTCAGTACATCCTAAATTATTTTGCTATGAAATAAAACAGTTTTACTCTTCTGGTTCTTTTATTACCCCCATATTTCTTACTTAGATGTGGAGATGTGTACTAAAGGTGGATTTCATCAGTAGCTGTGTTTTCCTACATACTGGATTAATGGGATTGCTCTTAGCTTTTGAGTGCCCCTTTTATTTTAGTTTCATAAAAATATTTCCTGTGTATAGACATTGTTTTTATTAATGAGAACACTTACATAACTTGTCCTGTTTATATTGATGCTTGTTAATTTTAAATATGCTCAAGTTGCATTTTATTGAGTAAGGTCATAAATTGAGATGTAAAAAATGGGATTTTTTTATGAGCTCCAAGAAAACTTATATAAGAATTGATGTATTTGAAAGCTGAGACTCTTCAAATATTAAATGCAGAAATGTCTTATATATATATATATTTAAAGATTTATTTATTATTTGAAAGGCAGAGTTACAGAGAGGCAGAGGAAGAGAGAGAGAGAGAGTCTCGCATCCTCTGGTTCACTCTCCAGATGGCTGCAATGGCCGGAGCTACACCAATCTGAAGCCAGGAGCCAGGAGCTTCCTCCGGGTCTCCCACATGGGGGTACAGGGGCCCAAGGGTCTGGGCCATCTTCTGCTGCTTTCCCAGGCCACAACAGAGAGCTGGATTGGAAGTGGAGCAGCCAGGTCTTGAACCGGTGCCCATATGGTAAGCTGGCACTGTAGGCGATGGCTTTACCCACTACGCCACAGCGCTGGCACCTTATTTATTTATATTTAAATTTTAAAATGTACTTATTTGAGAGGCAGAGGGACAGAGACAAAAAGAGATCTTCCATCTGCTGGGTTGCTTCTCCACACACCTACAACAACCCGTGCTGGATTGGGGCCAAAGCTGAGAGCCAGGAGTGCAGTCCAGGTCTCTCCTGTGAGTGGCAGGGACCCAATCATTTGAATCATCACAGCAGCCTCCCAGGACCCGCATTAGCGGGAAACTGGAATTGAGAGCCAGAGCTGGGACTTGAACCCAGGTACACCTGTATGGGTTGTGGGTATCTTAACAACTAGTCCAATGCCTGCTCCTGCAGAAATATTTTAAAGCAAGACATAAAGGTTCTGGAAACGTGAAACATATGAATGCATATTTGACTCCACAGTTTTTTGTATACTTTGCATATTGAAAAATTACATTCCTCTTGGGGTTTATAATCCTGAGAAACTGTTGGGTCTTTAACACATTCTCATTTAACTGATAGCTTTTCCTCTACTGCTGCCTACTAAAAAGTCCACATTTGTAGCTAATGCCCCTTTTGGTGGTAGTAAACTTTCTGATCCTCCTGCCCAATAAAAGGGTATTATGAAATTAAAGCAGCAGTATCTGTTTCTGTAGGCCAAAAACAATCGACAGCAATTTCACATGATTCAGCCTAAGCCATTTCCTTTTGACCTGACCCTCTGTGGCCCTTATACATGACGATACTTCAGAAATTCATGGAAAACAGAATTAAAAGATAAATTTATTTTGATGCATGAAAGTTTTGAAATCATATATATACAATGTCTTCAAATAGATCAAGGAAAAACGTATACTGTGAAAAACCTATGCAGGACTCTCACTACGGTACAGTGAGTTAAGCCACTGTCTGCAGCGCGGGCATCCTGCATTGGCTCTGGTTCCAGTCCCGGCTGCTCCACTTCCAATCCAGCTCCCTGATAATGCACCTGGGAAAGCAGCAAAAGATGGTCCAGGTGCTTTAGTTCCTTCACCCATGTGGGAGACCCAGAAGAAGCTCCTGGTTCTTGGCTTTGGCCTGACCGAGCCCTGGCCATTGTGGGCTATCTCTTTCTCTCTCTCTCTCTCTTTCTCTCTCTGTCTCTGTAAACTCTGACTTTTAAATAAATTAATTAACAAAAAAAAAAAGAAAAACACATAAATTCATTTTTTTGCAATTAAATAAGCTTCTGTTTTAATTACATTTTCTGCAGACTTTTAGAAGTACCCTCACAAATGCTGGTGGCATTTATATGCACCTGTCTTGTCTGCCTTAAAGTGTAACCCCCCTGGAAGACAGGGGCTCCTGTTTGCCCCTCTTTGGGCCCTGCCCTCTCCTTTCTCCTTCCCAGAGCGTATTCGGAGTAAATGTCTGTGGGGTGGAATGAAGTTAGAGTGGGCACAGCCATTCACGTAGCTTCCTATGTGTTCCCTTCCAGCCGTCCACATGTGCAGCGTCCTGGAACATAACTGTGCCCACTTCTGCATCAACACCCCAGGATCGTACGTCTGCAGGTGCAAACAAGGGTACATCCTCAACTCGGATCAGACGACTTGCAGAAGTAAGATTGCTTTGCTCATCTCTCTGGGCTTCTTCTCTCTCTTCTCATGTCTGTATCTGGGCTCATGTTAGGCGTCTCCGTCCCCTCACTGCACCCAGTTACCATTTCCCTGAGGAGAGAAGCAAGGGTTCAAAGTTTTGTTTGTTTTGACCGCACTTCTCACTCTTCCTCCATAGTACTGGGCCAGAGTCGGGCACACAGTAGGCCATCAAGAAGAGTTCGAGAGACCGGTGGAGACATCATCTCCTAAGCAGCCTCTGTGAAAGTGTGGGCTGGCTTCCTTTGCTTCCAAACTGCTTCTTCGGGGCAACCACTGAAGAGCCTTTTCATCCACTGTCTTTGTTCAGTGTACCCTGAGGAATTGCTTCTGTATTTTATTCTCTTCTCCAAAGCGTGGACTTAGGATGAGTTATTGACCTTGGCTGGGAATGATTATTTAAGTTCTATTTTAGAGGTGTGCAGGGACCTAGTTGCTTTGATGAGGCACACTTTATAGGTCTCTTAAACTTGAAAAAGGGCAAAGGGACACAAAATGTTAGAACTCACATTCTCCTTTTTTGGCCGAGCCCCAAAGACCAGACAATATGCAGATATTTATGCCAGCACAAGGTTATCTGTCCCTTAAAAATCAGAATTACCCACATGTTGAGTATTGTGCCCCCCCTCCCCTTCTAAGTTGCAAGTGAAACCACTTTGTTAACCCTTGGACAGCCAGGCTGCCAAAGAAAGACTTGAGGAAGGCCAAGGCATGTGCAGGCAAATAAAATTCAGTGACTGTGATGGGTAGTTCATGCAATGGGTAATTGTTATACTGCATGCTAAGCAATTAAGCATTAATGGAAAGCAGTTTGCACAAATGGTTGTAATTAGCATCACACTTATAGAGCCAAACCACATTTTCCATTTTTCTTCTCACTTTTCTGTTTCAGGGTTGAGTGGTTGGCTGGAAGCTTTCCCACTCCCCGAGATTAGGTAACATCTGCTTGATCGCCTCCAGTTCTGTGGCGTGTAGAAGCCCAAGGCTCTCTGGGGTCTGTGAACCCCGGGGTCCCTGTGTTCTCAGCTCCTCTCAGACCCCAGGGCTGCAGCCTGAATCACTGTCATCTTCCACTGGAAGATCTGATGTTTCTTCAGGTGGTTCCACAACACGAAAATCCTAAGCAGTCCTGGGTTTCGTACACTTTACTGAAGAACTGGAGGAGCTCAGGACAAGCCATCTCACACACTGCTCAGCAAACAGCCTCAACATCTGAGACCCCCATTCTCTTCCAGCACCCTCCTGCCCCAAGCTGCTTCTCTGGCCCACCCTACAGGATACTCATCTCCCCCTGTCTTGCCCACTTCCTTCCTCCCAACCCTTCCTGGGAGCAACAAGTGGTTCCACCCCTTGCTTCAAGAACTCTGGTGATCAGCTAGGTTCAGGGCATCTGCTGATGTCCATTTGCCATGGGTTGGCTTAGCTGAGCCAGAGGAATTCTGACACTAGGGAATAAAAATAAAAAGCACATTTCTCCGGGCACTAAAATAGCTGACTAGAGGTGCCTGGTGCACTTTCATTCACAATAGAAGACAAAAACAAGGGGAAGGCAACAGCCATTTCCCTAGAGTAGGGGGTGGCAGAACATGAGAGTGCTGTGGGAATGTGACAGAGACATTGGAGCCACAGATGTGTGATGACCTCAGGAAGAAGGGACCTCGGGGCTGGTGCTGTGGCATGGCAGATTAAACCATTCCCTGAGACACTGGCATCCCAAATGGGTGCCAGTTCGAGACCTGGCTGCTCTACTTCCAATCCAGCTCCCCACTAATGCTCCTGAGAACACAGCAGAAAATGGCCACATGGGAGACTCAGATGAAGCTCCTGGCTCCTGGCTTTGGCTTGGCCCAGCGCTGGCTGTTTGTGGCCATTTAGGGAGTGAGCCAGTGGATAGAAGATCTCTCTGCCTCTCCTTCTTTCTCTGTAACTCTGACTTTCAAGTAACAATAAATAAATGTAAGAAAAAGAGAAAGAGAGAGAGAGAAAGCAAGGAAGAACGGAAGAGACTTAAGCACACAGTGTCTGCTGCCTCTCGAGATCAACCCTAAACCTAAAGGGACTCAGGAGTCTCCACTCACCCTGCGGATACCTGAGACGTTTACTGCTGGAGAACTCTGTGACCTTCGCATGCCCTGAGCCCTGTGTGGGGAGCTGCTGGGTTCCACACCTCGCACTGCTCTGAGAAAGAGTCCGGCTCACGTTGCACCCTCCTCTACCCAGATCCTTGTTACATGGAGCGATCTAAGATCCTACCCACATGGAGTCCTGTGAAGCAGCCAGGCAGCTGCTCCCAGCAGCTCTAACAGCCAGTCTTGTGGGCTAGCCAGGAGGCCTTGCCCACCGTTGCATGGCCCTAGAATTACCTGAGTGGCTGACTCCAAGAGGCATGGCCTACAGAGGCTCCCAGAACATAGTTAGGTGGCTCTTCTCTGCCTCCTGCTACCCAGAAGGCAGCAAGCAGACCCACTCATCCACTCTTAGCCCCAGGAAGCAGCTGGGAAGACCTCCCTGAAGAAGCCATACCAAAGAGGCTCTACAAAGTCACTTGTGCAACCTTCAAACTCTAACAAGTGCCCCGTCTGGGTACATGGGTGTGGATGAGCATATGCTCCCCTTAGACACTGCACTCTGTACTGTACTCACCAGGGCCCATAGAGATGGCCCCTTTCTCATACAACTCATGGAGACTGATGGGAACCTCACATCCACAACCAGATGGCCATATTCAGAAGTGCCAGAAAGCCCACTCTACCTGAAGAAGTTATATCCCAGCTGATAGTGCACTTCCACAATGCCTGCAGCCCAGACCACTGAGACACCAGTAGATGTCATCAAAGTTGATTTTAGCTGAAGATATCACATTAATACTATACTAAAATACCCACCTGGAACAAAAACAAATACAGCCTATCCAGCCAACATCTCAGGACATATTGCTAGCAAGAAAGTAGAGGTAGAGGTAACTGACCCACCAGATGCACAAATCCCAGTGTAGGGACACAAGAAACATGGAAAAACAAGGTGACATGACACCTCAAGTGAACACAATAACTCTCTAGCAACATACCCCGGAGAAAATGAAATGGATGAATTACCTGACAAAGAATTCACCAGAATATTTTAAAGGAAGATTACTGAGATTCTAGAGAATGAGATAGTTTACCAAAATTCAGAAGATAATTCATAATATGAATGAGAAATTCAGCAAAGATTTAGAGATCATAAAAGAGAATTTGGAGCTAAGGAATTCAATAATTGAAATACAAAAAAATACAATTGAGAGCCTCAATAGCAGAATTGATAAGGCACAAGAAAAAAAAATCTGAGCTTGAAGACAGATCTTTTGAAATGACTCTGTCAAATTTTTAAAAAGGGTGAAAAAGCAGTTTAAAAGAACAAAGAGCACCTTGGAGTCTTATGGAAGACTTACATGAGCAGATGTTGACATTATGAGTATTGCAGATGGAGAAGAGAAGGTAAAGGGCAAAGGAAACCTAGTCAATGAAATAACCTTTGGGAAGATACAGAAATCTAGATCCAGGAAGCTCAAGGGATGTCTAATAGATATGAGAAAAGAAAAGTCCCCCTCCCCACTTAGGCCCAGGCAAACTTTCAAAAAATGCAAGATAAAGAAAGAATTCTAAAAACAGCAGGGAAAAGTGTAAATTCACTCAAAGGGGAATCTCCATTAGCTTAATGGTAGACATTTTGGCAGAAGCCTTACAGACCAGGAGAGAATGAGATGATAAGTTCAAAGTCCTGAAAGAATCCTCTCCACTACCAAGTTGGCCTCCAGGAAAGAAGAAATAAAAATTTCCCATGACAAGCAAAAATGGAGGAAATTCATCACCATGAGACTGACCCTACAGACATCCTGAGGGAGCCCTGCTGTAGGAGTGAAAGGAAGATCACTACACACACAATGAAGATACATGAAAGTACAGATACACAAGCCAGAAAGAGAATCAAATCCTACCACTGCTGAAAACAGCAAACCACAAACATGAAAAACAAGAGAGGAAGAAAGGAACAAAGAATATATAAATAATCAAAAAATAATCTAACAGGAGTGTTTCTTGTCAAGAATAATCTTGAATATACATGGATTAAACTCCCCAATTAAAAGCTATAGACTGTCTGAATAAATTAAAACACAAGACTCAAGAGACTCACTTCTCCCGTAAAGACACACATAAACTGAGAGTGGAGGGGTAGAAAAAGATACACCATGTAATCGGGAGTAAAAGTGAGCAGGAGTGGGTATAGCTGTATCAGAGAAAGTAGTTTAGTTCAGAAACTGTAAAAAGAGGCAAAGTCACTGTATGATGACAAAGGGATCCATTTAACAAGAAGAAATAACAAATGTATACACACAGATACACACACAGACATATATAATATACCCAATGCTGCAGTATCCACTTACATAAAGAAGCATTATAAGATCTGAAAGAAGTGATAACCTCTAATTCAGTAATAACTGGGGACTTCAGCACCCCACTTTCATCAGTGGACAGATCATCTAGATAAAAAACAGAGAAAGAAACACTGGAGTGAGTGAAACCATGCTATAGACCAAATGGACCTACCAGACATTTTTACAGAACACATCCCTCAACAGCTGCAGAATTCATATTCTTATCAGCACGAGGAACATTCTCCAGAAAGACCATATGTTAGGCCACAAAACAAGCCTCAACAAATTCAAAAGAGTTGAAATTATAGCATGTCTCTTCTGGCTACAATGTTACAAATTTAGAAATCGACAAGAGGAACTTTAGCAATTGTACCTATACATGGGAATTAAACAATATTCTCTTGAGCATCCAATGGGTCAATGAAGGAATCAAAGTGGAATTTTTTTTTTTTTTTTTTTTTGACAGGCAGAGTTAGACAGTGAGAGGGAGAGACGGAGAGAAAGGTCTTCCTTCCATTGGTTCATCCCCCAAATAGCCGCTACGGC